TTGGGCCTAGACACTTGCCGAAACATCAGCTTTCCTGCTCCTCTGATGCTGCTTGGCCTGCTGTGTTCATCCAGCTCTACACCTTGTTACCTAACTCTTAGACTTTGGATTCCAAAATGAGTTGCCATAGCTCCACAAAATATTAAACAGACATTTCAGAATAAAGAGTTGTAAGTACTCATATCCTGAGACCATCCAAACTGCATTCCTGACTAAAGTAGAACCTCCTAAAGCTAAGACGTTGATTATCTCAAATCCCAGTGTGGATGTCTGCAAACACAAAGACCTGCCTTCAGGCTAATTAACTTATGCCTATTGTCATATTTTGAACAGAGTTATAAAGAACCAAATTTTAAAGCAGCATACTAGGTAAACCTCCAATGTTTCTCCAATCAAATCCCCAGGAACAGAAACTTGGTGTCACTTGATGTCATCAATATGCACCGTGAATGAAGTTATAGAGTTATAGAGCCATCAAGTCATACAGCACGGAAACAGACTCTTCGGTCCAACTGGTCTATACAGTACATAATCCCAAACTAAACTCGTCCCATCTGCCTGCGCCTGGCCCATATCCCTCCAAACCTTTCTTATTCATGAACTTATCTCAGTGTCTTTTAAACGTTGTTAACATGCCGTATCCTCAGGAAGTTCAATCCACACATGAACCACACACTGTGAAAAAAATTTGCCACTCACGTCTTTTTTAAACCTCTCTCCTCTCACCTTAAAAATATGCCCCCAGTCTTCAAATCCCCCCTCCAAAGACACCTACTTATTTTTTGAAGAAGTAACAGAGAGGATTGATGAGGGCAGAGTGGTGAATGTGATCTATATGGCCTTCAGTAAGGTGTTTGACAAGTTTCCTCATGGTAGACTGGTTAACAAGGTTAGATCACATGGAATATGGGGAGAACTAGCCATTTGGATACAAAATTGGCTCAAAGGTAGAAGACAGAATGGTGGAGGGTTGCTTTTCAGACTGGAGACCTATGACCAGGATCAGTGCTGGGTTCACTGCTTTTTGTCATTTATATAAAGAATTTGGATGTGAACATAGGAGGAATGGTTGTTAAGTTTGCAGACGCCACTAAAATTGGAGGTGTAGTGGACAGAGAAGAAGGTTACCTAAGAGTACAATGAGATGGTGATCAGTTGGGACAAAGGGCCAAGGAGTGGCAGATGGGTTTAATTTAGATAAATGTGAGATGCTGCATTTTGGAAAGGTAAATCAGGACAGGAATTAAACACTTAATGGTAAGGTCCTGGGGAGTGTGGCTGAACAAAGAGACCTTGGAGTGCAGGTTCATAGTTCCTTGAAAGTGAAGTCATAGGTAGATAGGATAGTGAAGAAGGCATTTGGTATGCTTGCCTTTATTGGTAAAGCATTGAGTAAAGGAGTTTGGTGGTCTTGCTGCAGGTGTACAGGACATTGGTTCAGCCATTTTTGGAGTATTGCATGCAATTCTGCTCTCCTTCCTGTAGGAAGGAACTTGTGAAACTAGAAAGGGTTCAGAAAAGATTTACAAGGATCTTACCAAAGTTGGAGGGTTTGAGCTATGAGAAGAGGCTGAATAGGCTGGGGATATTTTCCCTGGAGTATCAGAGGCTGAGGGATGACCTTATAGAGGCTTATAAAATCATGAGGGGCATGGATAGGGTAAATAGGCAAAGTCTTTTCCCCAGGGTGGGGAAGTTCAAAACTGGAGGGCAATGGGTTTAAGGTGGGAGGGGAAAGATACAGAAAGGACCTAAGGGCCAATTTTTTCACACAGAGGGTAATGCATGTATAGAATGAGCTGCTGCAGGAAGTGGTGGAGCCTGGTACACTTACAACATTTAAAAGGATTCTGGAT